CAGGGCCCCCTTCGAAGAAAAGTGGCACCGACCCTCCACGTACTCACACACACCCCCTTCCCTCTACCTCTCGCCCCTCCTCAAGCGCGCGCTCAGAGCAAGCCTTTAAACACAAACGCTTTAGCTCCGCGCCCAAACACAGCACGCCCGTTTCCTGACCCCTTCGGAGAGCGATCCCCGTTGCGGGGCTGAGGTGGGGTGGGGGGGCTCCGTGGCAGATCTGGCCGCCCTCGTCCTCCCAACTCCCCCTCGCCTCTCTTCGGCAGTGCTGCCGCGCCTAAACCCACCTCCGCCGCCGCTCACCCCAGAGAGGCCCAGTTTGCCAGCCGAGGAGCAACTCCCGTCGACTCTGCCCCGGCTCCACTGAAGTCAATGGCAGCCCTCCTCGCCCCCTCTCCTTCGGGAGGAGCCACTCCAACGGCAGGCGCGGAACCACGTGTAAACAGCTCCCTCTGCTGCTCCGCTTTACCAGCCAGTCCTAATTGGAGAAGGGAGGGTGGCGGTGCCGTGGCTGAAGTAGGCGGTCGCCGTGAAGCGTTGGTGCTGGAAAACGAGAACTTCAGTGAGAGTCTAGTAGTCTCCTTGGAAGCGGGGTGCGGGCTCCTTGCTGGGCGAAGGAGAAGAAGCACTTTGGACATGCACAGAGAAGCTTTAGCCTTTTCCAGTGCCACAGCCGAATCGGGGCAGGACCAAAGTCCCCAGAAGACACCCCCCCCACGAGAGAGCAGTGTTAGAAATGGAGGGGCCGCCCCTTTTCAGATGCCCAGATACGACCTCGGGCTAGGCTATTCTGGGTTCCGGTTTTTGTGTTTGTATTGTTTCATATTTGCACTTCAGTGACTTCGCTACGTCTCACATATTTGGAAACAGTGTTGCTAGCAGCGTTCATTAAACTGATAGAAAATCATTCTGTGATTCTAGTGCCGTGTGTACATAGTACTGTACATATAATACAGTATATTGGTTTAGCAATATTACTGTATACTGTACATTAAAGAGAAAGCCAGGGAAATGGGAGTTACAAGAACATCGCACAATAACGAGAAACAAAAAATGCAGCTCTTTTTAAAAAACGAACTTGTTATAACGGGACGGGGAGATATAAAAAAGCATCCTTATTTATTTCGATGCATTTTACGTTCTTTGAAATTACTGGAAAACGAAGCTCAATAAAATAACCATTAGGGATAAATACAATTATTTCAGAGGTTGATGAACAAAGACAGGCCCTGTCATGCTCTACAGGGCTGCTGTTGTTTTTATACTAGAAAACTGATTATTCCTTTACACTATAGATGTACCTATAAACACACGCCCGCATTCTTTTTAATGCTGGCCGCTCCTACAAATAAAAACATTTGGTAAGGCAGGTAGAACGTGACATATAATAATGGTGAAATAAGTATAATGAAAAGGCAACTGCACGTTTTACCTAACAAATTATTCCCGCTCTCATTACACCCACACCCAGCCAGGGAGAAAGCGTTCAGGGGAAGGTGGGGAGGCTCCCAACCCCCGCGCCTCTCAGCCAGCGTGAAAAGCAGCAGGAGGCCTTCGGCCAGCAATCCGGGCCAGCCAGGTTTTCCGCGGGAGGCCAACTCCACTGGTATCCGCTAGGGGGCGTGCCAGCTCGAGGCGGAGCCGAACGGGCGGAACCATTGTCGAGACGCTCCCTCCCTTCCACAGCCCAAACACCCGCCCCATTTCCGTTGTGTTTGGTCCGCGCTGCTAAGGCAAGCGGGCCCGCACGCCTCGTCGACCTGTCATTAGGGAGCTGAGCTCGGCCTCAGGAGCCGGTGAGATGGCGGCTGCCGGCCCTTCTGGGAGCGGGATGGCTCAAAAGACGTGGGAGCTGGCCAACAACATGCAGGAGGCGCAGAGCATCGATGAGATCTACAAATACGACCGCAAGCAGCAGCAGGAGATCCTGGCGGCCAAGCCCTGGACCAAGGAGTAAGTGGACTTCTTTCTGGGCAAGGTCTTCGGAGCAGCTCGTCGCCTCCTGCTCTGGCCCAGGGCGAAGAGCTCCGGCCGGTGGGCCTGCCTGCCTGCGCCTGGCCGGTGTGGGTTGGGTCCAGAAAAGGCGAAAGGTTGGGGTGAGGAAATGGTCGTTAGGGCCACATCCCGGATTAGTCTGAACTGATTGAAAGGTGAAGACTGGATGGCGGGGAAGGGGGCTGGCCGAGAGGTTGCAGAACAGCGGGCCAGTGGCTAGCAGGTTGTGGGCTGAGTTTTGTTTTGTTTTTTTTTAAAGAAGGGCAGAGTAAGACTGGCCCTGGAAATCCTAGGGAAGCAGAAGCAACCGGCGTCGGCAGTCTTCCGACTGTTAATGTAGATAGTGGGATAAAAGGGGAATGCATCAATGCGTTTGATTGGCATTTCCAGTACTGTATCTCATGTTACTGCAGGTATGTTGTAAGTTGTTTTGTCAGTGGGTAAAGAGAGAGGCATTCGTTTTCTCTGAAAAAGTCCATGTTTCTGGTGGCCACCCATAATGTTTAATGTGGTAGGGTGTCCGGAAAAAAGACTTGAAAGAAGATCTTTGCAGTCCAGGTGGATCTGTTAGGAGCTATAAAAGTTTTTTTTTTTTAAATCAACTTTAAAATGAGCCAAGTGAAGGACTGGGGATCTGACTGGTGCAGTACCGGCATAATATAGTTAGACTGCCCAAACCCTAATCCTCTAGCTGTGTATTCAGTTAACTGAACTTTTTGGAAATAATATATACACATTTGTTATATATCATAAGTATATTATATTTTTATTCAGAATCCATTAATATAACATACACACACACACACACACACCCCAATACATATATATTGCAATGTTTCTTTCATTTTTTTTCAAAGATGCCTAATCCCTCCCAGATATACATACTGTATATTCTTGACCAGGCTTCTGCTTTTTCCTTTATTCAATAACTATATTATTTGATATGTTGCAGACTACTTTGGGCACAACTTGTGGGAAAACAGTGTTCAAATAAATTAAATGACTAAAGATATTGCCTAACTATAGGTTTTGATTTTTTAAAGCCTTTTGACTTTATGTCTTATGATGTTCTTTAACTTTTTCATGTTTTATGTATTAACAATACCTCAGTCATGCCTGGCTTGTATTTCAGTTTAATTCTTGTTGTATGGGGGAGCACTTGAGCTCTAAATGATTTCTAATTGTTTGCATTTATCTTTTTGTCCCTCTCCTGTCATGATAGGTTTCTTGTGGTTTTTAAGATATATTTTGATTTTTAATTGCAGCCACCATTACTTTAAGTATTGCAAGATCTCTGCTCTGGCCCTCCTGAAGATGGTGATGCATGCGAGATCGGGAGGCAATCTGGAAGTGATGGGCTTAATGCTGGGAAAAGTAGATGGTGAAACTATGATCATCATGGACAGCTTTGCTTTGCCAGTAGAAGGCACAGAAACGCGAGTTAATGCTCAGGCTGCTGCATATGAATATATGGCTGCGTATATTGAAAATGCGAAACAGGTAAAAAAAAGACCAGTTTCATTCAAGTCATTTAACATGCACTGAAGCAGTTTTGAAGTTTACTTGGGAGCTTAATAAATTGCAGCCTGTAACATCTGCACAATGAGTGTTGCTCTGGAATCCTCCCCCCTCCCCAGCATCACTAATATCACCAGTTGGGTATGTCTGGGTCAAATTGAGCTCAAAGGAGGGTTTTTTTTAAAACCTCTCTAGTTTATTAATGGGAGGACTGTAATGTTTATTGTGCTTCTTTCTGTTTTTTTTCTATATATACTATTGCTGCATTGTCTCCATTTCATGCACTCCTTGATTGTCTTAGGAGTCTGGAAAATATAAGTTTTTAATTATTCTGTTTAATTTCTGAATTTCAGAAGTGCACAACAAACTCACTTTTATTAACTACAATTCTGGTAGCGTGTACACCATTGTTTTGATTCTGTTATTCTTGGAGTTATCTGTCTGGCTATCTTGTGTGTATTAAGAGTCAACCAGGATTTCCTTATACATATACTGTACTGTACGCTACAGTATATGTTTGTATTTTGAAGTAAAATTTGCAGTTTGCTAACTGTCCAAAAGAGGGCAGTGATGATATTCAGTATATGTCTTTTTAACCACATTCCCCCCCTTTTAAAAAAAACATTGTTTAGGTTGGTCGCCTAGAAAATGCAATTGGTTGGTATCATAGCCACCCTGGCTATGGCTGTTGGCTTTCAGGAATTGATGTCAGCACTCAAATGCTTAACCAGCAATTTCAAGAACCTTTTGTGGCTGTGGTTGTAAGTATAGTACTGGAGTTTGTGAGCTAAATGGAATTTGATAGTAAATTTAAGAAGTATGCTTTTGAAAATTCTGAATACTTTGCCTTAGTGTAGTGTGCTTCCTCTTTCGGGATTTTTGTGTGATCTGCTTAATGCTATACAGTGGGGTCTTGACTTGAGAACTTAATCCGTATTGGAAGGCGGTTCTCTAGTCAAAAAGTCTGTAGGTCAAGTCTCCATTGACCTACAGTGCATTGAAAACCGATTAATCCCGTAACAGGCCGTTTTTGTTCCATTTTGGTTTTTTTCTGGTCTGTAAGTCAATTCTCAGGCTGCAAGTCAAACCTAAATTTTGCGGCCAGAGAAGTCTGTAACTCAAAAAGTCTGTAAGTCAAGCCGTCTGTAAGTCAAGGGTCCACTGTATAAGAAGGAACTTTTTTCTACTTTAGATCTTCCTATCTCTGATACTAACATTTTAAAATAATGTTCTGTTGTGTTATACAAACTTTTGGTGTTATATAAAGAACATTCTTTTGTGCTGTAAATCTTGTTGCACTTTTCAGTTTTGTTACAGATGATTACAATTGTTACAGTATTAAATGAGGAAGAAAGAGAATAGAGGCTTCCCTTTAAAAACAGTTCAACTCTCTGCTGTGCTTGAAAACCATGGAGAGCTGTGGCCTATTGATCCACTTTCCAGTGTTGCTTTCGACACAGAAAATGTGATTATCTGTAACATAGGATGAAGAATTATTCTGTGAAGGTTTTAGGGAAATGGAGGGGACACAATGTTGTTCCCTTAAGGAATGATTAAATCTTAAAGTAAAATACAATCTTCTGTGGTTTAATAATTGTACATTAGGCTATTTTCAAGACAATGTGCCTGTGAAGTAATGCTTAAGAAAGAGAATTGAAGAAGGAAGTCTCATGAAATATATGTTTTTTTACGCATGCCTCAATGTCTTGATCAAAATTGATAATTCCTTTATTCTCTAAAATATTATTTTAAAACTTTGAAACATAATCTTTTACCAGATATGTGACTCATATCACATTGATATGTTTTTGAGACATCCTAACTATTCTTCCATAAATAGTAAAGTAATTTCAGAATGGGGTACCTGATGTTCTGGATAGAGTAATGGACTAGGACTCAGAAGAACTGGGTTCAATCCCCAGCTCTGTCATGGAAACTTACTGGGGCTGTGGAACAGCTAAAAACTACTCATTAAATACCTTATTTATCTTGAAAATTTTGTTAGGCTGCTATCAGTCAGTTCTGACTTAACAGCATGTAACAACGACTATTTCAAAATCTGTTTTACAGATTGATCCAACAAGGACAATATCTGCAGGAAAAGTAAATCTTGGAGCTTTTAGGACATATCCCAAGGTAATATTAAATAACTAAAGTTATGTGATGCGAGATTATCATTTAAATAGATGGACACCCCACATAACATAACAAGTGTTGACAACAGGCTATATCCTAAAGATATATTCCTTCTTTTAGCAAGGCTTTTGGTCAGCTATTGAAACTAATTTTCTATTCATTTTCCATTGAGACTGTCACGATGTATAGTCAGCAACTTCTAAATTTAAACTGTGGCTCTTGGTTGTAGGGCCAGTTCTTATTTCATTCATCCTCTGTTCTATCCAGTCAGTTATATAGATTTTGGGGCAATAACACAATAAAACTACAAGCCGTCCTCTTTATTATGGAAACTTTTATGGTTTTGTTTTGTTTTGTTTTTTGAAAGAAAAGAGGAGACTGTAATTGCTTAGTTTACTGTTGTATTTCAGAAGTACACACATATTTTTGTGTACCGTTTGTGTACAACAAATCCTGCTGTATTTAGGAAATGCAATAATAAGTTATATTTTCAACAAAGAACCAGTTTGCCACAAAAGCAGAAAACAAAAACTCTGTATAATGATGAAACTTTAAGTTATTTGTGTCAATGTTAGATCTTTTTACAATGCTTTCTTAGAAAATTTAAAATGCCTTTCTCAATGGGAAAGACAAATCTAGTAGGTTGCTAGAATACCTGCTATACATGTTTAACCTACCTGTGTTGGACATAGAATTGACATATGGAAGCAGTCCTGTACTTTGGACAGAAATGAGACATACGGTTTTGGTAATACTGCCATTTAAAAGGAAACATAGTATGTCCATTATTTTGTCAGACACAAGGGATAAGTGAAAATATTGATGGAGATATCAGTTTCCTAGGAAAACAATAGAACTTGCTTCCCATAAACCCCTAAATCTCCATCTATGAATTCTTATTTTTCAAGAGTGAAGTAAATGCTAGTGCAAATATTAAATAATCTACAAATATTTGTTTGAAAATATGATGTTGTATTACTTTGGTTTCTTGTGTTTTGTATCCTACAGGGCTACAAACCTCCTGATGAGGGTCCTTCTGAATATCAGACTATCCCTCTAAATAAGATAGAAGACTTTGGAGTGCACTGCAAACAGTGAGGATATTTTTCTTAACCCAGATGTTTTACAGTGTTCTCCCACTTGGGGAAAGGGGGGAAGGGAGGAATGTGTGCATATAGAAGCAAACTTTCTTGTCCTGTATTTTGCCTGCTTTCTCTGTAGAACTACAGTGGTGCCTCGCTTAACGGGTGCCCCGTTTAATGAGGAAATCGCATAGCGATTAACTTTGCGATGTTCCCTATGGGGAAAAATCGCTTTGCAATGATCGGTACCCTGTTTTGCTTACCGATCATAGCAAAGCGATGATTTTTTAACAGCTGATCGGCAGTTCCAAAATGGCTGCCCGCTATTTTCTGGGACGGATTCCTCGCTTACCGGGCAGCGAAAATGGCCGCCGTATGGAGGATTTTCGCTTTAAGGTGAGTCTGAAGCCCATAGGAATGCATTGAAGGGGTTTCAATGCATTCCTATGGGCTTTTTAATATCGCATAGCAACGAAATTGCTTTGCAGCGATTTTTGCTGCACAGATTATCGTCGCTATGCGAGGCACCACTGTATATTTAAAGTACATCCATAGATGGTTTAAATTGCTTATTTGTTGTCTGGATGATGGGCATGAGGACAGTTTTTTTTTTCTGGGGGGGGGACTTCAGCCATACCTTAGGTATCTCAACCAAATTCTGTCAGAGAAAATCTGTTTAGATGAACATTGCCCCAAGCCCTTTTTATCAGGATGCTTCCCTTGCTAAAGGGTTCTTGGATTGCATTATAATGTCTAATCCTAATTATCATGTTCCGGTCCACTTCATTTGTTGGTCTTGTGTTTGTCTGTGATTGTTATTGATCCTCTTTATTGTATGTGTATTTTTCTTCTGTTCTGAGGCCCAGATAGATTTATTATGGTATTTCAGTACCAGTCTAGATAATGCACTCATGCTGATTCCTGTTCTGAATATAAGACTGCTAAGCAGTATTCTATGGAACTGGGTGAGATTAGTATTGTAAAACGTGAGACAGAATATCCCTTCCCACCTTGTGTGCTTCCAAGGAATTGTTTGTCTTGCTTATCTACTTGTTCTCCTCATGGGATAGTATTTTCCTATACCTCAAAACGTTATGCTTCCCCTTTCCTGTTTTTTACTGCATAACAAATTTTAGAAGGAATGCTGATCCTTCGTTCTTTGTCTATATATGAGAGTTTTGCAAGAGTAATAAGCAGCACATTTTGAAACCTTTTTTTTTCTGGAACAGGTATTACGCATTAGAAGTCTCTTATTTCAAATCCTCTTTGGATCGTAAGTTGCTTGAACTTCTGTGGAACAAATATTGGGTGAACACTCTTAGTTCATCTAGTTTGCTTACTGTGAGTATCATTGCAATTCTACTAAATACTGACTCAAATGGTATTTGGAAGGTAATGTACAACCTGTGAAGCACTCCTTCCTTCCTGTAGACAAGAGGAAAAAGGAAAGGCAGAGAGTGTAATAGATTTGAACTAAGGAGATGCATACTTTATATGCATGTTCATTCACAGAAGGAAGTTGACCCTCTTGCTGTCCAGCACTAGGAACAGTACAAATTCGGGGCAAGCTCTTAACATTGAATTGATTTCAAGGAAGGAAACTGAAATTAGTCATGAAGATCTTTGTGCATCCTAAATCTGTTTGTCTTGTTTACCAGTTAAATATTCCCAAGTTGCTATGAACATATTACTGATGTTTGCGGAAAGCAGAATTTTGTAACAGCCTGAGTAGTTATACTAAATATTAATTAAAGTATTATTTGTTGGTAGTAGGAGAATGCTATGTTTTACAAAGCTATAAGAAATAAGTGCTTCAAAACTAATTATAAGAACGAGGTGCTTCAACGTGTTTCATTAGTTCAGTTACCAAAATAATTCTGATACCATTTCCAAGACAAAGAGGATTATTAAGTGCAAAGATAACATACAAGAATACAGTGGCTTTAACACTAGAAATAAGATTAACAATTTTACTTTCTGTAGTTGTATGATATAAAGCAGTACAGTATAGTCAACTTGGGACAGTTTAGAAGTCAATTTTCTGTCTCAAACCCAACAGAAGGAGTGGGACACCAGAACTGAAAATGAGCAGAATTTATGAAAAATCAAAACTAAATGTTACTAGAGGTCAACTCCCAATTTCATTTTTGTCAGTTTGGGGGCCTTTTAGAAGATGCCAGAGGGACCTGTATCTGTTTTGGTCTGGTTTTTCGGCAGGGGGCGGGGGGAATTCCTGATTCAGCATCCTCTTTGTTCCACTCATGCAATGATTCATTCTCTGAGTCTTTCAATGTGTACTGAAGTTGTGCAGGAACATGTCCACTATTTCCTTGCAAAAGCATAGTCTTTGTTTCAATTGGGTGATCTTAGGTTTGTGAAATGGAGACAGAAATTGCAAAGAGTGTTAGACTGGTGATGTGTTCTGTATGGAGCGCAGAAGCCACCTTGAGCCCACACTTTGCCCACCCACCCCCAAAATAAAGTAACAAAAGCATTTGCAATATCGCTAGTTAGTCCCATGAGCATGCACAATTATTTGCATCAAACAAATACTTTGCATAAATAAGCTGTCAGATAAATCATACTCAAGACCACTGGTTCTTAACCTTGGGTTACTCAGGAGTTTTGGGCTGCAACTCCTAGAAGCCTTCACCACCAACTGTGCTGGCTGGGGTTTCTGGGAGTTGCAGTTCAAAAACATCCGAGTAACAAAGGTTAAGAACCACTGCTCTAGACTTACACAGACTCCCCCTGGTGCTGGACAAAGTGTGGTAGTGACTTTTTCAGATTTCCCCCATTCACCTCCTACATTATCACTCACACTGTTAGAGAGAGACTGTGTAGAAATGATAGAACAACCTGAGAAGTAGCACTGGGAGCCAAAGGGTGGATCAGAGAAAATGGCCACTCTAACCCATTTCTCTTGCAGGAAGCTTCTGCTGTTCTAGCTTCCTAGTTCTCCCCACAAATAGAAGGATCCTTTCCACGTCTGCAGAGGAGCAAGTCTGGGTCATTGTATTCGTTAGCTCTTTAGTTTCTTGTGTGCAATAAAAGAAAAACATGTGCTTTCACATTACAATATGTTTTTATTTTCCTGTCTTTGTTTCATGTAGATGAGAGGTCTCATTAATCTTAGAAACTGTAGTTTCTTGTGATAGTTATCATTGAGATGCATGATGTATGAAACAGCATACAGTAGTTAAAATTTGGAAATGTGATAAAGATTTGCTGTTTCAGGCAGCACAAAACAAGACAGTTGTATAAATGTTACTTGTTGTTTAAATCCAGAATGCAGATTATACGACTGGGCAAGTATTTGATCTATCTGAAAAATTAGAGCAGTCAGAAGCACAACTAGGACGAGGAAGTTTCATGTTGGGTTTGGAGTCCCATGACAGAAAATCAGAAGACAAATTAGCCAAAGCAACAAGAGACAGGTAATGGCACCTCAATTCTAGGATTTATTTTCGGAGATAACTCTGATGCAAATCTGTTAACATCAGACTTGGAAATTGTAAGGATTAGCCTTGCATTTTCTGTGGTGAAATGGACAAAGAGAACCAGTGCTTGATTGGTATAGGATTATTGAATGTAAATTAGAAAATGAAGATTCTTTATGATAGATTCTTGTGCATTACTGCCAAATATCAGTTGCCAATGTCATTACCTGCAGCAATTTCTTTGGTCATTGCACTACTGGCATTACTAGCTATGACTATCTTAAATTTTCCTCCATTTTTCTTTTCCTATCATTGTAATAACAAGAAAAGCAGAAGAAATAAATTTCATTAAAGAATGACATAATGATTGAGTTTCACTGAGCTGCATGTAAATCACCTCTGTGTGTACTTGAGAAAGAGGTAGTTGATTTGATTTCATTCACTGGCAGACCCTCATGCTTCAAGGCATACTTTTCTAGAGGACTCATTCAGCTTTTCAAAAGGTGCATTTAGGAAATATGTGGAGAGGTTGCCACTGAAGAAAAGAGTTGAATAATCCATGTTTTTTGGTGAATCATCTGGCAATTTGAATCTCAGCCTATGTGGATTGTAATATGTAATCAGTACAAACCATGGAAGGAACCTGGCAGGGAATTTTTCAGATTTTTTTTTCACTACCAGAATTTATCAGGAATTCCCCAGGTGGAATTCTGGTAACTTTAGCTTTAGAAATCAGGTTCTCAGAAGTGTTTTAGGATAAATGCCTGTTCCTTGCCAAGGATTTCTTTGCAGCAGCAGCCATTAAGCATGGAGAGGGACATGGGTGGAGCTTTCTCAGTTCCACGAGAACTGCAAGCATTAGGGGACAGTGGTCTTTTTGTTCATTAAAGGGTACCTTCCAAAAATCATCACTGCAGGGAGATCTTTGCAAGGAATAGGTATGTGTCCTGAAATGCTTCTGAGAATCTGGCTTATTTTAACTAAAGTTACCACAATTATACCTCTGGGAATTTATTTACTATCCCATTAGTGCAAGCACTAAATTGGATGGGTTATATAAGATTAAAACTCCCAATAACCTACAGTAACACAAATTCCTGATGAATTCTGGTAGCTGTACTGAAAAAAATCCTATGCCTAGTATAAACTATCTTTAGTAATTTGTTCTAATTTTGTTTCCAAAAGAAGCTTTTAATAATATTCTAATATCTAATTGAATTTGTTATTTCTTGACTAATTACTCTGCTTTTAATCAGAGCAACTTACTGTAGATGCTACCATCGAATCTTCCATCTGCACATTATTATCTTCAGTAGTCTAATTATATCATAAATTGATAAAACTGCTTCTTATATAGCAAGACCACTGGTTTATCCAGCTCTGCCTTATCTGTACAGTCTGGCAGCAGCTGTCTATCCCAGCACTGCTTGTAGATTTCAGAGAATTAAACTGGGACTGCTTGTGTGACAGGAAGTGCTGCAACATTGAACTGTGGTCCCTTCAGACCACTGTGCATATTCGCTAACATAAAGATGTAGAAAGTATTTTAAAAAGAAAGTATCTGACATGTTTCAATCTGAGTACATGGTACTTTGCAAATAATGAGATAACTGATTCCTACCCAAGGGGCTCTCAATCTTACTAATTGACACCAGAAAGACAAGCAAAATGAAAGCAGAAATAAACAGAGGAAGAATATTTCAGTTACGCATAACTCAGGTTTAGCTATAAGAACAGTACAAGTTCTATTTAGGCTTTTTAGCTTAAAAGCAAGTAGGACTTCAAACATTGTGGGTATTGAGGCTGCATAATCAATTCAGTGTGTAGGTCTGAAGAGGCATTTATGGTGCTTTCCATGATTGGCAGCCTTGATAATGCAGAGCTCCTGATTGTAGAAGCATTGTAAGCATGTTCACCAAACAGACTTATAGCTGTGGAAGCACTGCGGGGCCGGACTTACAGAGGTCCACCCATCCCCACTGTCCTATCAGTTTTCTGTTTCTGAGGACTGAATAGACCCATAGAATTCCCTTCATGTGTTTAATATTTAAAATATTATTGACATAGTGCCATCAATGGAAAGTTTTGTTTTGTTGTAGATTAGAGTGCTGGACCTATAATTTCTGCAGTTGTTGCCTTTTCCTGTAAAAAATGTTTGAGTTTACCTTTTAAAGTAAATGGCTTTTGATAATGAACTGAATTATTGCGCCTGTCTTTTCATAACTGGACAGTTGTAGAGAATCATGGGGTTATGGGCACCGTGAGCTCCTAAAACTCTAAATCACCAGCAAAGCCGAGACAGAATTGTGTTTCGCCAACTTTAAATTTACGCTTTTATTTTCCCCTCAGCTGCAAGACCACCATAGAAGCAATACATGGATTGATGTCTCAGGTTATTAAGGACAAACTTTTTAATCAAATTAACATTGCTTGAAGTATATTGCCAGCTGATATGTATCTTCGGAACAGAGAAAGACATACCCACTCGGACTTGTTCCATTTAGAACTGAAGCCAACATGGAAACCTTCAGTTAATTTATAGTACTTTAAATCATCTCTGCCATCTCTTTGCCCAGTTTTAAGAAGAGTGCTCTGAAATTTATTGTAACTGCTCTTTACCATGAAGTTTTGGTTCAAAAGAAGAGTAAATGTGACTGTTTCTGGATTCAGGAAGTTTAGAATTTATCTATTTGTCAATCTACAATAAAGTTCTTTTTAAAACGGCCATCTGTTGTTTTTTTCTGTTTTGCTTTGTTGAATTTTATCTTTGAATTTCATCACTTGTTCTCATTCCCCTTGAGCCAGAAATTGTAAATTTTCTCTGGATTAGACCTACCAGTTTTTTTTTGTTTTGTTTTGTTTTCAGAGTATAGAAGACACTGTATCATCTCCCTGTAGTGCTTAATCTTGTCATCCACCATCAGTTCATGTCTTGGAGCAGAGATTTTCCGTGAAGTCTATATCTGAAGTCCTTATCTTTCTGATCTGTAAACAAAAATACTAATCCATTGGGGTATTTTAGTTATGGTTTCCCTTGCAAATCAATTTAGTTATATTATCCAAACTCCTTAGGGCCAGTATTTTGTGGGGTAACAGTCACATCTGGTGGTCCCCATTCTCCATAGAAACACAACACTTTGATTACTATGATGTGATTATGATAATTTTATTATGATTATTATTACTATCTTTTCCTTCCATCGAGCTACTAATTTCCTCTTGAATGTTCCTGCAAGTTTTGCAAACATACAGAGTGTTGTCTTTGTGCTTGGGTTCCTCTGTATTTAGAGGACTCTCTTGATCCAAATAACTTATTTGCTTTTTAGAAAACAGGATGCTAGACTGGATGAACTAATAGTGGCCTAACCCACCAGGGAGAACTTTTTTTAATGTTACTGTCTCCTCAATTTACATTTCTTTTAAGGGGACTTAGAGTAAATTCTGGCTAGTTGGCAGATTTCATAGGATTTTTATATTAATGCATGAGTGTGTGGTAGTTGAATGCTTGATACACTGATTGGATTCAGATTTAGTCATGCTTAGAATAGGCCTACTGAAACAAATTGGAATCAGTAATACTGAACAATTTATACAGATCTCATTGTGACATGCTTCGTACATGAAGATCCAAGCAATTATAGAGAAAACGTTACATTCACTTGCAATCTTTGCAAAAATATAACCAGAATATACTAAAGAATAACTCCCTGGTTGCCATTCTCATCAGCACAGGATATAACTTTGCTATACCTCACTTTTTGTTCTGTAACTTACTCTTTCCTTTGGAAAATAATAAAGATAATCAAACACGTTACCTCAGAATCACAATTATTCACAGAGAGCCAGGTTTCTATAGGGCAGGGCTGAGGAATATCTGGCCTTCCATTTGTTGTTAGATTATTCCTCATTATTGACTGTCAGCTAGGCCTGATGAGAACTACAGTCCAGCATTATCTTATGGAGTTATATCCCCCATCTCTACTGCAGATATATTACTCTATAATGGGTATCATTCTAGGTTTGCATATATTTAATGCTAAGAGATCTAGCACCATCACAAGCCTAACTTGTGCCATCGCTGCCAGCAGCCATCTCCTCAGACCATACACAACAAAATGTAACATGGGAAGGTGGATATTTGTTGAGATATGGGCTTCGGTAATTTTGTTTGTCTCCTTGAAGGTCTCAATTTACTGGGGGTACATGAAACTAAAATGTATATCTGAGTTTGCTTATTTAATCCCCATATCTTTCCCACTGCACCTTTTAAACTAACCCTGCACATTGTGGCTTGAGATTTCTATTGATCTCACATAAGAGATCCTGTTTTTCAGTTGAACTGTGTGTTAAAATATTACAAACAAATTACATCCCACAGGACCTGCAAGGAAAATGTGGTAGTCATTGTGCTCTAAGTATTTTCTGACAGTACAACCAGATAGCATGGAACTGGGTATTCAAAAAGTATATTTTGAGGAGTTTTTTTAACCAATATATGAGTTGTGTAAAATATCAAAGAGGAAAAGAAGTATGCTTATTAAACATAGAGTGGAGAACAGCACCTAATAATATTTTGATACTGAAAGAATTGGCCAAATAAAGATGTGTGCTAATTTGTTCCCTGTATTTAACCACCACCCCCTCATGTTTTTCACTAGGCGATGGTGGTGTTTTGGGTCCACCCAGTGCTTCCTTTGAGCTCTGCGTTGCTCAAGGAAGTGTACTTTGTAAGAACAGAAAATCTGTTTTGCATGGCTAGTGCATTTTCCTGATTATAGTGTATTTAAAAATCTGATGAAAGTTAAAATTATTTAAATTGCAATGAAGTTAAATGATTTAAAATTTATCAAAATGTAAGATTAATTGCCATATGATTCATGCAGTGCAGAACAGGGAAAAAATTACTGAACAGTTTTTACTGTTTTACAATGCTATTTCAGATATTGAAGCTATTCCTTAACCTATGTTGCAGGAAATACCCGTTAGGTTTGTTTTTAAAATGAACACATTCAGCCAGTTCTTATTTTGAACAGTCACAATACTGCACAATGCACTAATACAACGGAGTACAGTAAAGCTCTTGAAAATAAGCATGCTAGAAGACAGAACTTGGACTCCTCTGTCACATTGTTTTGCCGTTTCCATGTGGTATGCTACAGAGAGTTTTCAAGAACTCCTGTGTGAATGATAAGACACAGACATAGGAATCATGCATGCACAGGAATTCATTTATGCTTCTGAAGTCTGCACTGTGTCTGAGTTCATTGTATAAACTTAAGCAAAAACACACTGTTTACTTTTCAGCATTCTTCTGTATTTCTGGATTCTTTTAAAGTTAGTTAAACTGCAGTGGCAACTGTTGTGAGGGGGATGGTTTTTGGGGGGCAACTAGTTACATAAAACAGTGCTACGACAGCACTATTGTTCCATTTCATATTTACTATGTACTGTATTTGAAAGTACGAACACAGTATGTTTAACTTAAAACTGTGTCATGGATTTACTCTTCAGGGTGAACCTGTTTTTTTTCTCCCTTGTACTCTTAGTGTACACATTAATTACTCGACAAAGTAACACAAAAAAGTAGCCTCATTCTCAGGTCTGGATTGTGTTGATAATTTTGTAGTCACCTTGCATGGTAGAGTCTGCTGTAAAAATTTTTCTTTTAAAATTTCAAGACAACTGATTCAATGACAGAAAGCAGGGATTTACTTGGAACAATTCCCCTACCTCATCGATCTGTCTGGTTTAGACTTTTACATTTACACTGGTAGAAATGTATATCTGGATGTAGATCTTGGAGAAGGTTACACATTTAAGGTAGTTTGTAGAAAAGGTATATGCACACACTCAGTGGTGTGCTGGTGTAAGTATGGTTACCTTGTATCATAGCATTCTTCCAAAGATGTAGACATACGTTTGTATAGGATGTGGCAAATTAGAAGTATATACACAAAACTGTAATTTAAAATGCTTTTTTTTAACATTAAGTGGTAATTTTAGAAAATACTTCCTGTTTGTTTCCTCCATATATGATTGATTGCAATATGTGAAAAAGAACTGTAATGAATCTTACTTCAGAACAATTGGATCGATTCCATATACAGTATCAGGAAAACAATTCCAGAAAGTAATTTTTAGAATCTGTTCAGTGTGATTCTCTCTTATTTTTAATTCTTTTCTGTCTCCTATATAATGATTTGGGAGAACATAGCCCTAAAACATGACTTCAACATTCTTTACTTTGGCAGCAATCGTGAACTTTTCTATTTTGCCAAACCTTTTAATGCATGTGTTGCTTTTCTGCTTCTTGACGTTTGCTTTCAGTTCTACTAATTTATTTTAGAAATATTTTTCTATATTGTGGCAGTTTTATACTCTTGTTTTTCTTTTTCTTTTATCTTTTTATAAACCATCCTGGAAACCCTTTAAAGGATAAAATCCAATAAATAAATAAAAGGTAAATCTAATAAATAAATAAATAAACGTTTTTGTTACAAATGTGTCAAAATGGAATGTTTTGAGGATATAGAAGAAACAAACATCTAAACTATGGTTGATCATATCAATGCTAACAGCTTAATTCTAATACCTTTCTCTTTTTATTGCCAAGGTATATGGGACAACTGACACTGTGTAGGCATTATTGCACTGAATGTTGTAATGGACTAATGAAATCGAAGAAGACTTTCCTTCAGGACATGTTAACTACAGTTACATTTTCAAAAAAGTCATATTCATTAACAAGTTGATTCAGTTTTGGTCCTTATTCCTTTATCATTCATAATGGACACAAAACAATTGCTGTCTTGTTTGATTGTATTATTCAAATTTTATCAGGTACACTGAGTTGCTGAATAACGTAAGATTATGTGCTAGATACTAACCCCCACCCCCACCCTGTACTTCCTGCAATCTATATAAAGGGACTGAGCATAATATTGGATGATGGTGTCGCACAAGAAGTGATCTGGGTTAAGACAGTCCACTCATGTCCAGCTTAACTTGTGAGAATCTTGCAGCTTTGAATGGCAAACTCCAGTAGCAGCTTGTTCAGATACTAGCGGAACTGGAAGTGTGGCCTACAAGTGGGTTTAAGTCTCTGCATCTATCTTTTTAAAGGCCAAACAGCTACCTGGCAGCATCACTAGTAGCAAAGATGTGACATTTTGTGGGCATCAGTAGAGCAGCCCAGTTATTCTGAATTATGTCCATCTAAATGCGGGTTAAACTGCTGAAGCCTCTGTGCTGAAGGTCAGAAGACCTGCAGTCATAAGATTGAATCCACGCGACAGAGTGAGCAAAATGCAAAAATGTGAGTAGATAAATAGGTACCACCTTGATGGGAAGGTAAACTGCATTCCGTGTCTAGTCACGCTGGCCACGTGACCACAGAGGATTGTCTGCAGACAAACGTTAGCTCTATGGGTTGGAAACGGAGATGAGCACCACCACCAAGAGTCGGACAGAACTGGACAAAATTGTCAAGGGGAACCTTTACCTAAATAGAATGTGCTGGTTTGGAACAATCACTACCTATGTAAAGTGTGTGAATACAGATTTAAGTCATAATGGAGAGGAAGTGCATGAACCTTTGAAAGGAAATTATATATATATTCTTTTAAAAACTTTAATTTTTACTGAAGCCTCCATTCAACTCTAATGTAATTCATCTATCATTTCCTGTGCAAATTCCTCTGTTTATTTTAGGCCCAGTTACCTTAGGGCTTATGCATAACAGCAACTGCATTACTGTTAAAAAGGAAATTAATCTATGTGCTTGCATTTTGTCTTTTGTAATAACTAACATCTGCATTTTCTCCAGTTGTTGAAAGCAGTATTAATTCATTTGATATATTAGGTGAACCTGGGTTTAAACACTCACAGTTTTGCTTCTTCTTGTGAAGGAACAACATTTTGCTGTATCTGGATTAAACAGTGCCAATATGAACTGTTCTAGAATATGAACTATTCTAGAATATATATGATTATCACAATGTTGTGACATCTTGAAAATAAATGTGTGAACAATTCATTATGCTGATATTTTTAATATATTTTTCACTCAATTTTAAAACTTAATAGATTGGATCCATATTTAGTCATACTTAGAGTAGATCCATTGCAATAAAATATGATTACGTCTGGATCCAGTCCTTTATGTGCTGAAAATAATGGCCTTTTTAACGTTAACTGTGGAGAACCACTGTGGTGCAGTAGACAGAGTGATGGACTAGGTCTCAAGAGACAGGTTCAAATCTTCATACTGGGAAGGAAACTCATTGAGGGAATAGCACTGGCAGAAACACTCAAGTATTTCACATACTGTACATTACTTTGAAACTCTATTGGGGTCACTGCAAGTCATATGCAATTGATGGCACAAAACAACAATATTGACTATTCAGTCTTTCAATGGTTAGTTATTGACATGCACAGAGCAAATTAAAAGTCTGCTCTCTAAGCATTTGGAACATGGAATGTGAGAAGTATGAATTGAGGTAAACTCAAAGTTGTTAAGCAAGTTATGGGATGTTTATATATTGGAATACTTGCTGCAGGTGAATAATGTATAGTGGACTGGAGTAGAATATTTTTAATCAGACAACTACAAAGTGTTTTACTGTGTAAATCACAAACTCAGAACAAATTGTGGGGCTCTAATAATGAAGTATGATGTAGCACAAACATTTAGGGGCTATCCTGCAAACCTGGGACCAAATGATACCAATCAATATCTTGAAAATCTAACAACTGTTATTCAAATCTAGGCTCCAGCTACAGATGCTGAAGAAGAAGCAATTAAAAGCTTTTAAGTGTTGAAGAGAAAGCTGATCACAGATCAAAATAAAAAGTTCTCATAATCACTGGTGAGTGGAATCACATATAGAAAACATATAGGAACTTTCTTCGCATGAAAGTGGAGGGGGAAAGCAGAAATCATCAAAGTGCTTTGATCTCTGCCTTCCCCCTCCACTTGTTAAGCAGGCTTAGCAAGAAAGGGGAAAACAGGGATCAAAGCTATCCTGCAGCACTTTGATCCCTGCTTTCCCCCTCCACTTGCTAAGCCCTGCTTAGATTTCTTAATTTTTTTATTATT